CAAATGTTTACGTAACTGTTAGCTGAAAATGAAAGCAAATCTCACTTGTGACAGAAGGAGGCATACAACTACATTATCATAGGCAACACCAGTTCTCTCCATCAAATACTTTCAGAGAGTAGAGATGGCAAACACCACTGAGACTATTGTTCTACGGAAGTGGACGTTTATTCTGGAAAGCCATCATCTACTTGGTGAACTCCTCCTAATGGGCATATTGCATATGGTGAAGGAACCTTTTCCCTGAAACAAGTTATCTGCCCAGAATGAAAGCCCTTGGCTCAAATGGTTGTAGAAACTTCTATAAGCAGACCACAGTTTCATTTTGGGTTTTTAGTTGGCTTGGGAACTGTAAACATAACTTGTGGCAAGCTTCCCGCTTACTGTGCTCTAGGCACAGGAACAGGCCCTGCTTGCCTGGGAGCACTAGGAAGAGGCAGATGGTAGGTGAGCTGGCTCTCACTACTCAGTGGTGCCGTGGCCACGGGATGAAGGCATGCTTGGCAGATTTGATTCAGCCCACTGAGGAGGTTACAGGAAAGCCTACAAGACACAAAAGGCTGAGCACCATTAGGGGATGCTTTCTACACACAGCCCTACTGTGTTCACATTTTTTTAACGGGAGACAATGATATTTTTTCAGTCCTCTATGTGACTCTCCCACACAGTTCCAACTGTTTGATCAATTAGCCAAGAGAACCTCACACAGGAACTCCTTTGATATTGACCCCAAGCTAGATTTACTGCTAAAAAACAAAACAAAAAAAGCCCAAAAGACAAATTTGTTCAGGCGGTGCTTCCAATTCCCAATTAATTAGAAGTGCATTTTTTTAACATTACAGAGTCAAATTGACACTTAACTGTCCACATTTCTGCTATTAGTTAAAATGTACATGAAAATGGGTCCCAATCAAGTTTATTCTAAGGAAGTTAAGTATCAATCGCCTGGGGAGAGGATGGGATGGTAGAAATAACTAAGTGATTTCACTGGCTCTTTGCTTCGGCTATCATCAGGCTCAGCGTGGGTCAGTGTGCAGTCACTACACAAGACGGCAAGTGCTCGACCTAAGGATCTACAAAGGTCTGGATAAACCACACGGCCATTTGTTCACAAAATGGCCATTTGGACACCTGGACAGTGAGTGACATTGAGATGAAACGAGCAGCTTGTCAGTGTTTGATTTCACAACTATAATCTACATATTAGACGCAAAACAAGGACACAGGGTGGATATATAAAAAGGCCTGGGTGAAAAGGAAATTCTTATTGCTCAACTCTGTGCCTTGCATCTCAAGGGAACAGGTATCAGTAATTCTTTCTCTGATATTTGGTCTTTAAGTGAAGTTTTCTTCTAGGGCAGCAGATACAAGCTGCTTCCTTCCTTAATGAGTCTGGGTTCACACCAAAACAGCTGTGCTAAGGGATATACTGGCCTGACTTTAGGGGAAAAACAATAACAACAAAAAACACCACCACCACCACCCCCCCACCCCACACACACCCCTACCAATGCCAGATATTTGGAACCAGAGTTCCTCAGTATGTACTGGGGATTTCAGGCAGGGCTTCAGGGCCACATGGCTTGGGCAGCGGGACATGAGAACCTGTTTCCTCAATGACTAAGATGTCATAAAAGCTGAGAGGTCACATTCTTCGTCCAAAGCAGAACTCGCTTTGAATGTGGAAAGAAAGCAGCAGTGAGTGACCACAGAGCCATGAGCAACCAAAGAACCCTATCAAACCCTTCCTTAGCTGCGTCACTCTCTTGTCGTAGCCAATCATTTACTCTGCAAACTACCCCAGACGGAAAGCGATTACAGAGTGACCCAGGTTTCTCTGCCTGTCAGTGCTCCCTTGCTCAGCAGCAAACTAACAGTGGAGAGGGCTGCTAGAATACACATACAAGAACAAAACATGTACAGGTAAAATTGTTCTGTGCAGTGTTTTTACTAAGAACAAAACATATGCACACATGAGCTATGGCATATGAATTGCAAAATTCCATTGATTCTAGATGATGAGTTGAGAGCTTATAGATTTGTTATCAAGTTAGTATTATATAATTTAGAATGATAAAAAAAACAATGCCAAAAATTTAAAATTTAACACTCCTTTACTTTGAGTGATAATAAATAGAAATAATTGGAAGGCAGCAGAAAAATGAATAGTGCTTTATACTTCAGGACCTTTCAAGGCGCTTTCTCCTCTCTTTAAAGAGGAACACCACATACTCAGTCCTCATTGGTCAGGTTAAGCCACTGGCACTGATCAAGATACATCCAAGGGTTCTGCACAGCCTTGTAGGGGATGGTAGCGCCTACACCCCTTGCCTACCCACTGTCTACTGGGCAGCCCTGGATGGACCTCTAGCATGCTGTGCTAAGATGAGAACTCTGAGGTGCATGCAAACTGGAAGTCTGAGAAGCTTATTTGGGGGTCACCTAGAATGCTATTCCTACCGTGGCTAACTTTTTGGTCCATCACAGGCAACCTGATAGATCTGAACATGTATAGGATTCATGCAATATATATGTACCCCCTCCCCGCCCCCTAGAGCACTGAATCTTGGGTCCTCTGTCCAGAATGTCACCTATGCTTCTGAAGACAGTTTCCCTCTCATTCTCCAATCTCTGCTTTAGGGAGGGCCCCCTTATCCTGATTCTTGTTCACCCCAACTCTCAGTTTCACTTGTTCTCAGAAGACAGGGGAACCAGTCAGCTTGAGCACTCCTTAGGTTTCATTTCTAAAATGTGTGCACAAGGACTTGGCTCCTGGATCCCTGCTGTGCTGCGGTAGCCCTAGCTTCTAGCATGGAGTTGCAGACAGTCCAGGAACTGTTTGTTTGGTAAATGAAGAAATGCAATTAGCACTCAGAATTAGGACTGGTTAGAATATTCAGTGTTTTTCAGAATCCAACTATATGAATATATGAAGCAGCGAATTCCAGTATCAGCTATGACACTGAAGTAGTCCAGATGTTCCCCAGAGCACTCTGAGGACTTCAATGTTCTAGTGAACATTACGAAGCAGCTGACACAGGCATCTGGATATAGTTGTAAAACTTAGTGAGGACTTTAAAGTACAAGAACTTCTCTTTTTTCCCTCCCATTTCCTCATTTTGATTATATTCCTTATTCTGACCAGAGTATTAACAGTTCTACAGACAGAAACAGTCACTGTATGATCACAAAGTTTTTCTCACATGACTATATCTGGATAAAAATTTGTTTATATCATCTGATTTACAGTTTTAGATTAATAATAAATTAATTAAAGAATATATAGAAGAGAAAAATATTTCAAACTTTATAATGATCAATATAATAGGTCTTGTTATTATTTTTTTCCTCCTTTTAATATTAAGTTGTCCTCTAGGATGTCAAATCGTCTGTTTTGTGAGCTATTTTTGGGTACTGGCACCCACAGTCATGATATGATTTCCTTGAGGTTTTTAAGGAGATACTGATTATTATCTTTCCAACTTTTAAAAATAATGTTTTCCCTAAATCTGACTGCTCCAAAGGTACCTAGTTACCATTCAGCAAAATTGCAAAGCATTTATGTTGTGATGTGCTTGATAAGTGGAGAGGGTGACAGGATTAAAAAACAATAAACAAAAAACACAGTGGACTTCTACAAAATAGGATGCTCTTGTTTTCAAAGGACTTTTGTTGCCTTGGTCCAGCATCCTTGACAGACAGGTGTCTAGCTCATCCCAGTTCGTATGTCAACTGACAGATCAGTTGTTGGATAGGTCTTTTTCATATTTGTCAAGAAGTTCCTATAAGCTGCAGTTTGTGTGAAATAAAATCTCCATGCTGGAAGAGAAAGTGGCAGCAGCTATAGATTATGTCTGGGGTGTTCTGGAAGTCTCCGCAGTGAGTGCTACCTCCAAACACTCCCCACCAGCCTGGACAAAGAGGGAGAGTGTGCTGGAGGGAATAATGCAGCCTGGCCCCAGGGGAGGGACCAGATGGGACCTAATAGCTCTTTTCTACTACTAATTTCTATGATAATTTTAAGTTGCCACATGGCATATGTATTTTTAAAATCTAAAGGCAGGATATTAGTCAACCAAATGACCAATATTTTAATGAAAGGTATGTCACAAACTGTATCTCTTTACATGTTATTTTTCACTCTCCATCTACCCACTAATAATACATCACTTATAATTAGGCTGGGAGAAGTCTATGGAGAGAGGTCAAATAGAATGTGTTTTTAATCATTATCAATAGCAATTAGAAACAAAGAAATTCTAAGTTTTATTAGGAAGTCAGATGGTTTTTGTAGTGGTTTTATGACGTCACTCATTTTAATCTTTTTCGTTTCTCATAGTTAGAGATCACATGTGAATTTAAGGATACACATGCCAATTAATGCTTGAAAGAAAAATTAGAAACATGAAATTTCTTCTGTTTTCAGAGATGAGGTCAGGGATTAAAAGAAGAAATATTAATGACTGCAGAAAATTACCAAAAAAATTTCTTTCCACTCTTACCGATGAATCCAGATACAACTTGATTCGGGGACTCTCTTCGCTCTCCTCTCTGCTAGGTGTAATTTCTCCTTCCTTCATTGTAGTCAGATCATTCAGAACTCTGCGTTTCTCAGGTGTGGTGTACAGTTTCTGGTTTATTAGTCATTTCATTTGCTTTTGCTTTCTGGTGCTCTGAATGAGACTTGCAATGATTTGCTCCATATTCCTCTTTCTACACAGCGGAATGTGACTCGAGATAGAAGAAGAGACTGACTCTGGGGAAAACCCCAGAAGCCATGAGCTTGAACATCATGACCATCACAGACTCTCAGACAGACTCGTGAACAAACTAGGAAAACAAATTCTACATTCAATGCAGCACAATATCACTGTCTTTCATAGAGATCAACCAACAGCACCACAGCCTGGGCCCGAAGCCCACTTACCTCTCCTGAAAGCTTGCCAGGGATCCTACCCTGGGGAGGGTTAATAAGTTACATATGTACAGCAAAAAGATACAAGCTCTGATAGAGTGGGATGAGGCACTTCACCGCTCTGCTGGCATTGATGCACGTGGCACAGATAAGGCTTGGCAGCAGCTTCCTACTCACGATGGCTCCATCGAACAGAGGTCCAAAGAATGGAACCTAGGATTCATAACAGAAAAACTATGTTCAGACCCAGCAACAGTTAGGGCAGAGATTAGAGAACTGATGCTCTGTGTGAAAAGACTGGGGATGATGAACACATACACAGGCTGTCACCCAGAGCAAGTTGAGAGCTTCCAAGTCAGCGAGCACAGATTGTCCCACCAGGCTTTTCCACGAGGACTTTCTACAAGGCCTTTTAAATGGCAAATTATGAAGTTCCCCCTACTATCCTCCACTGTCATTCACAGAAGTGGCATTATTCTTTCTACATGCCCATGCCATGTTACAATGCATGGTACACAGATGTACTTCCTGACACTCTATTCACAGTCTTCATTTTCTTAATTTTCCATCCTCTGCTTCCAAGATCCTGCATCATCCTCACTCCCTTCTGCTTTTAAGAAAGGCTTGGTTTTCTTTTGCTAGATCCATTTCCATCATGTGGGCAAACCATAGTGTTCATGGATGTCTTTTTTGGATTTCTTTCTTTTCTCTTCCTTTCCCCTCTGTTAGAATTTCATTAATTCTACTCACTACCAAGGAGGCTGTCAGCTCTGTGAGATCTGGAACTGGATCTGGCTAGTAACTCTTATATACACCTACAATTTCTCTTGATTTTTCATTAATTTGCATAATATTTATTATATGATAGAACTTTTATTCTAATCTATTCACTAAAGGGGCATGTGAAGAACACACACACACATACACACACACAACACACACACACACACACACACACACACACACAATTTCTACTATAGCCTAACTCCAAGTTTATTACAGATTTCAGAAAACAAACAGTTAAACATATACAGTATATGCTGTGTAAAATAGAAGATAATGCAGAGAAGAGCAAAGGACTTTTGGGTGGATGTGTATCTCCAATTCTATCAAAATGAGAGGGAGGGCTTTAATGAAAGATGTTTCATGGCAACTCTGCAGGAGATGGAGGAATGGACCAGGAGAGATGAGGACCATGGATGGGAGGACATTCCATGAAGATCAACAGGTGTCCAGCTTGTGACAGGAATGGGACTGGCATGTTTAAGCAAAGGCAGGAATCACAGTTGCCAGAGCCACATTATTAGAGGGAAGACCAGGAGGGAGAGAAGTCAGGAAGGAAACAAGAAGAGCTTTGTAGGAAATTGTAAGAATCCTCAATTTCTACTCTAAGGAAGACAGAAGCCTTCTAGAGGGTTTTAGAGAAGTGGAGAACACCATCTAACTTACATTTGTGTGTATGTGGTATGTATACATGTTTGTGCATATACGTACAGGTGCACATGAGTGTGTATGTATGCATGTAGAGACCAGAGATGGACATTGGGTGTCTTCCTCAATCACTCTCCACCTCGTTTTGTGAAGACAGGGTCTCTCACTGAACCTGACGCTCACTTAGCAATAACAGTAAGTGTAAGTGGAGTCACAATGATTCCGGTCAGTAGTCCCAGCAACTTGGGAGGCTGAGGTAGAGGACCATGAGTTAAAAGCTAGTCTGGGCAATATTGTCAATATATTTCAAAAAACTCCACACATTCCACGTGTATAGAGAGAACAACTCTAACAAAAGATGTGTAAGACATATATGCTGTGTAAGACATATATTCTGTATGCTGTGAATATGTGTTGCTCTGATTGGTTGATAAATAAAACACTGATTGGCCAGTAGCCAGGCAGGAAGTATAGGCAGAATAAGCAGACAAGGAGAATTCTGGGAAGAGGAAGGCTGAGTCAGGAGACGCAAATCTACTGTCCAGGAAGCAGCATGTAATGGCAAAACAGGTAAAGCCATTGAACATGTGGCAATATACAGATGAACAGAAATGGGCTGAGTTTAAGTGTAAGAGCTAGTCAGTAGTGAGTATGAGCTAATGGCTGAGCAGTTTTAGGTAACATAAGCATCTGTGTGATTATTTTATAAAAGGCTGTGGGACTGTGGGTGACGTATTTGTCCTGACCGCGGGCCAGGTGGGACAAAGAAAAACTTCAGCTACACATATATACTTAAAATACCCAAGAGGGGTAACAAATATTCATGCAAACCTGAATAAATTCAAAGTACAATATTCATGGGCTGGAAGTTTCAATACTGTTTAAGATGTCAATTCTTCTGGAATCAAGATTTAGATTCTAACACAAACTCAACTAAAATTCTGGGTAGACATATATTAGGTGCTTCTAAATTTATACAGAAATGGAAAGATAGAAATTAGCTATGATGGTAATGAGATGATTTATATTATTTGACTTCAAGGAATAATATAAAATTACAGAAATTAAGATATCAGAACAGTGGTATCAGGATTGATAAATTGACAAAACAAAATATACTGCCAGAGAATAGAGCCACACATTTACAGCAACTATTTGACAATAAGGCACCAGATTAATTTTATTGGGAAAAGGAAGTTTATTTCAATAAAGACTCTGGAACAACTGGATAGCCATATGAAAACCTGAACCCTGACCTCCATTTCATCACATACACAAAATGAGCTGGGTTACAGACAGAAATATTAAAACTAATCCTACAAAGGGGATGACAAGATGGGTCAGTGGGAAAGGGCCCTTGCTGCCAAGTCTGATGACCAGAATTGACATCCAAAACACACCCTAGATTTCTGCAAGTTTTTCTCTCACCTCCATGAATGTGCCATGGCATGCCCAACACACACACACACACACACACACACACACACACACACACACACACACACACACCACACCACACACAAATAATAAAATTAAAAATAAAAAACCCTAAAACTTCAAAAAGAAACATAAAAAATCTTTACAACAGTGGATAGACAAAGATTTATTAGGGCGCAGAAGGCACTGATCATAAGAAAAACAGAAAATAAAATCACCCATCTTATTGGAATAGAGATTTCCATCACTCATGAATATGTTTCCAAATCTTTTAACAGAATACCAGGTAAACAATTAAATAGTCTGCCAGAGTAATAGAACATCATGACCAAGCTAGATATATCACAATAAGGTATGTGTGAGTTTCCATTAAAAATTAATGTGTATAGTTAAAAAAACATTAATGTATTAAATGAGAAAAGTAAGACGATCATTTCAGAAGATGGTTTTAAAGTAAGTTTCATTAAATTCGAATTCTATTTATAAAAATTTCTTAGCTATCGAAAAAAAGGAACTTGTTAGGCATTTGAGTATCGCCATTCTTATGGCCTGCTGCTCATGTATTCTGTCCTGTTTTATAGCTGTGCTTTGAATAAAGTTTCCTTGCTACTTTGCAGGACAAAAACAAACAAACAAACAAACAAAAAACAATTTGCACTACCCATCTACTAAACTATGGCAATAGTGAACCACTGAAAGGTTGCTATGTGAGAGTGAATGAGAGAAGAACTTTTCATTAGTGAGTTTTGCCAGGACAGGAGAGAAAGAAAGGGGTGTGTGTGTGTGTGGATATTATGAGTTGGAAGAAAATAATAAAAACTGCTATTATTTTAATTGTTAGATTATTATATGATTATGTAGTATAATTATAATAAAGGGCCTATGGGAGATGGTCAAAACTAGATTTCAATAGATAAAGAACGGACTCATAAAACTACTTTTCTATCCTCAGCAACAACTGTTCAGAAAAGAAAATGATAGCATATATTATCATGATTATTATAACATCATAAAATACAGACTTCAGAGATCTTGTAGGTCATACAGAGAAAAGAAAAATTACAAAACCTTCACAGAAGTAGTCTAAGCAAATGAGATGATCGAGCTCTCTTGCATATATCTGCTCTATCTGACAAGAAGACTCACCATCACTATCACTTCCTCTTACAGATTCACTCAAGGACTCAATGCAGTGCCTGGTACAGAGATGACAGAGGTTAAGGAAGTCAAGACATTCCTTAGGAAGAGTGGGGTAGGGGCTTGTTTCAGTTGTAGGAAAGCATGCTCTAAACTGTAGCATAAGACAAGATACTAGAGCAGTTCACACAGGACCCATGGAGCCAAAGGGAGGGGTCACACGCTCTTTTGCTGTATGATGATCACTGAAAACTCATTTATGGAGCTACTTGGGACCTATGACCCCGTGAGGTGGTGGTGCTGACTTGTGAGATGGGGCATATCCCAGGAACCAGTGACTCCCAAGAGGGTGGTAATTCTTTTGTAATTAGAAACTGAAGTCTAGGTCTAAGGAGACAGGCAGGGAGGGGCCTTCCACTTTACTCTAGTTCTCCTGTTCCTCTGATGTTTGTCTGATTTCTTTGGAGAACTCAATGCAGTAGCACTCCTACTAGAAGACATGGCGTTCTCTCCAATGGCTACTGGCTACTTTGGGCTCTGGGATCACTGTACACTGAGACAGACAGTAAAGAAGGGTATGGGTGACCCTCCCCAAGGGAAACAGTGCTGCTGTTGCACAGTGGGGACAGGGAACAGAAAGCTCCTGGGGCGTCCCCTAATGGTCTCATACTCAATGGTGAAGCTAATGAAAGGTAACATCTGGAGTCCTCATCAGAACTGGGATTCAAATGGTTCATCCATCTAAACTTTCTGAACAATTCCTGGGTGCCTTATCCTAGTATGGTGACCAAAGCCTAGGTACTAAGATTTTCCATGACTGTTAACAAACTGGCTTTCCTTGCCATCTAGCTGCAAGATGAAGATACCTATGGTGTGCCTGCCATGTCCTCCATGATTACACAGCTCTGGCTGAGGAGAAAAGCATGCATCTAGAAAGTACAGCCCAAACTAATTTATACCCTTCAGGCTGGGGTGCACAGCAGGACATTTTCACATCCAAGTTCTCTTATTGGCCAGCTGTGAACACAAAGGCAGCTTTTTGCTGAGAAGTAGTGATTCCGAAGTTCATGGCACCCGTTAACACTGTTAAGCACATTGGCCTAGGGGTGTATCCAGCTAGCTAGGGTGAGGACAATATTTGGGACAAACCCCCATTGGATATATAAGAACTAATCCCCAAGGACTCAGTTGGAACATTTTGATGCTTC